TGTAAAGAAAACGCGCGCCAGTTGAGAAACCTCGCTCCGTTGCTGCATTCGGCCAGCAAATCATACAGCAATGGCCATATCCCTGTCTGCCAGTTGAGATTCCAATAAGATTCGAAACACACCAAGCCTCTTCGGATTCGAGGTACTATTCCTCCTACGCTGCTGCCAGCGTAAAAAACACCGTAAACTTAGCTCAGACACTCTCCGCGGAGCCTTACCAGCAGAGCTGAAGCACCACGGTCTTGAAGAAACGCGGCAGAATAGAACTGCATACGAGACGCCTCGATCTTCCGGGGATTCATGCGCAGCTGCGCAGTAATGTGCGGCTTGAGTCATCTGTCGCACGGTAATGCAGAATCAGTGGCGAGTTTGCTGCGCTGCGGATATGCCACAGCCACACAATGCATTGTCACCCATGATCGAATATGCACATTCATTCTAGGGAAACTGAACTGCAAACGGGGGGTTGGACGGACGCGAGAGAGATTTGGGCTTCGCGCTTCCGGCTTCTTCACATCCAACCAGATAAATTGCCTGCCACACTTCATGCAGGCAGATGCAGGGGAAGCGCTTACAGTTGCGACTGTTAGACTTTCGATTACCGACCATGGCACCCATTTCATAGCAGCAGCACGGATCATGCACATAAGAGCCTTTGGATCTTCAGCTGTGTAGAGGAAAGCGCTTTTCGCCGATGATCTTGTCGTCGATCTCACCCCAGCACTGCGCCTGGGGTCGTCGCGTGGGCCTGAAGAAGTAACGCCTTGCCGCTTCCACAACCGACAGCCTTCTAGAAGCTTCCAACAACTTTCGGTGGAAGGACATTCAGCCAGCCTCAACCTTGCAGTCACCTGCTTGAGAGTTTTGGTCTACCAAACCGTTGGCGTGCGGACTGGTGATGCGCAATACTCTCAACTTCATCCTGAGTGTGCGCAACTTCAATCTTGCGTTTTACTGAGCTAGAAATCCCGAAGGAGATAATTGCAACAGCTTTTATGATAGCTTGTGCGACGAGCGACGAGCGTTCGGCCGCCAAAGGACTTGCCGTCCCCTGTTTCCCCGCTGCGCTTGTGTATGAATTTTGCTGTGAATAAATCTTCCTACACTCATACCATTTTGACGCTTTGCAGCGGGTCGAGAGATCTGGGAAGCTGATCGGTAGGCAATGCGACCGAGAATTAGGCTGATGTGGACACACTGCCTCGCGCGGAATCGGCAGGGCTGTGCGTGTCACGGCACCAGGGCAGTGATGCATCTGGGTAACACTACGGGATGACGAAAGTGTGGGATGACGCTGTTGCGCACTTCGAAATTGTCGGGGAAGCGGCTTTGCATCCCTTCCTTCCTGTTTGGACCGTCAAGGCTGAACAGGGCTTACAGACTTGATGGCACCCTTGCATTGTCTCCGCATCGGCTTCTCTCCCTGATGGTGCTTACTACTGAATGGTGTAGATATCTCGGGGAAGCGGCTTCTTCGAGCTGTTGTTCTCGTCACCCTCTTATCAGGTCCCTTATCTATACCACCTAGGGTCAGATCCTAAGGCACAAGCGTGCCTGGGACAAACCCTCAACCCCCTCACGCAACGTAACACCGAACCCTCGTTTCTAGAGGAAGTGGCATGAACCCACCTCCGAAAGACAGTCAAAAGAGTTCTAGTGATCGAAAAAAAAAACCGCCACTCATCATCCAAAGTCCAGGAGGTCGGATGGCCAGCAAGTAATAAGCAGCGACTTCGGGTCGGGAAAGCTGTGCAACTCTGGTCCGGTGCCACTTCCTGTGTCAAAGCGGGTTACCCGGGCCGTATTTCGTGAACACCCGACAAGGCCGATGTGAGCAGACCGGCGACCTCGACCGCCTCTTCTGCTTGTGATCCTCGGTACGCCGATCCCTGCTCTATGCACCACCAGGCTGTATACAAATGGTCTCACTGCCTAGTCGGCACTACATCCGCGGCCAGATCGTACCGTCCAGTGGGAGAACGTGCCCTGAGCCCGTTTTTAGCCCCACGGATCTCGCGTCTGGTTTGACCGCGGAACCTGGCTGTAACTGCCATGATCAGGGGGTCTTCCAATCCGAACAGCTAGTGGGATCTCAGTATCCACAGCCACGCTCCCACCCCGGGTTAGGGGTCCTTCTACTCTTGCCCCATGGGTACAAGAGCATGCAGTGGCTATCTTCCCGCTTCCGCGCAAACGAGGCAAGTAAGAAAACCTTCTAGATACGGCTAAGCGGCATTGCGAATGAGAGATGAAGTGAATGATTCGAGTCATCCTGGCTATGTGCTGTCTGTCAAAGTTCTGCTTGAGGCGCTGCGCAACTAGCACTTGTCTCACACGCGGAGACTGGCTCACTACACCCTAGCAAATGGCATGGCAGCCAAAGTATAAGTAGCACCTTGCGGGCGGCTGTTGGAATGTAGTTGACAAACCTTCTACAACTATACTACTGCTTGACTGAACAAGATGGCTTCCTCGGCACCAGTGGCCGTGACCTCGGCCGTGGCTACCCTTGGCTCTTCTCAGCAGAATGCCCAAGAACCTCTCTCATCATCACTTCATCAGCACGGCACTGCCCAAGCAAACGGTAACAGATCTACTGGTACTGCTGTCAGGACTCATAGTAGTGACCTGACCTTTGTTGGGATGTGGGCCAACACAGAAGAACACCAGACCAACACTGAAACGAACGGAGGTAACAGTGACCTACCACCGGTTCGACTCAGAAGGTACTGACCTCTCATAGTCGAGCCTCCTGTATACCACACGGGTTGTACGCGCCACCGCAAACTGAGCGAAGCATGCTCTCTCCCCGTCGATTCCCCCCAGGTTGTCAGGCTTCTCACAAACTCGTACGCGGTCGAATTGACCGAAAATATACGGGACGGAGGTGCCCGTGAATCGTCCGCCGCGGCGTGCACATGCGTCGTAGCATTCGAGGTTTACGAGGATGAAGCGGAGCAACGGAGGGCAAGGACGAACGGAGTGGCGGCGTCTGAGAAGCGGCTGAATGGGGTGAGGTAGTGTGAAGCTTCCTTCAGCACCCTTCATGTATACGAACCATGTGTATGAGCGACATGACACCGGACGTTTGGTTGAGGGTAGAGCGACGTGGTATTAGGGACTAAAAGCTGTGCTTTGCGTTACTTGTTAGCTTGCGGTATATCGGTAGAGAAGAATGCGTCTAGATTTTTGTGTGTCACAATGCCTACGCGTGGCTGCCTAGCGCCGTTGTTTTGTTGGTCGCAATGGTATTGTGGCCCCCATACGCGAGGCTGTGCCGCGTTGGGCTGTTTTGCTACGCGCTCCAGCCTTGTCCCGATCACATTGCATTGGAGCCTTCTTCTCATGGAACCACTACATTGCTGTGATGCCTACCAAATTACGAAGCGTCAACACCGGTACCTTTTGCGGATCGATATCAAGATCGTTGTCGACACTGAACGAAGACTCGCATCTACACCACCGCGCCCATTCCAACTACTCGTACAATCATCCTCACGGAAAAGCCGTCGTCCGCCATGACGACTGCGCTTCACGTTGAGGGCTCGCGATCCAGTCCATAAAGATCGAGGTACCTATCACAAGACATGAAGCGCCTCACAAGTACCTATGTAGCTCGACTTCGTAGCAGCTACCTGTCCCTAGTACACCCGCCACTCCCATCTACAATCTCACAGCTTTCATGCGCCATGTACTAACGCTCATGTATACATAGACCACTTTTGCCCCAGCACCCGAAATCATGCTGATGTCTCACATCTCAGCTCCTTAGTCCACAAGTTTCACGCGCTACCATCACACACGTCGAACGATACCTATCGGCACGACTACAAGCCATGCTCAGCCATAAAGCTACTAATGGCTTCTTCCAACTCCCCAATAATACACTCGCCTGTATCCGCTGATGCACTAAGAATACGTTCGCTTCTTCCGCACGCATGTATATAGACGGCCAGCACAGTTTCCAGCGCAACCGGAATCGATACCACAAAATCTACTTCATGACCGATGGGTGTGAGAGTCCAGCGAACGATAAATGCGAGGTTGTCTGTTGGGTAAATGTCAGAGCGACGACCGTAGTTGGGGCTTCGATGCTTACTAGCGACTATCTCGATCTGTCGGTTCATATCCGCATCGTCTTTTGTAGGAGGTCGGTGTGGCCAAAGGAGATTAAAGATGCGTTGCTCGAGGGGCCCCATCGCTGTCTTTGGCATATCTTGTTGGAAATGGATATTTCGACGGGTGTCAGACGTGGATTACGATATGGGCATGGTAGCACTGGCTACACTGGCTACACGGGCTTTTTGTCGGTACGTTATTTGCGTAGCTACCCGGAACATGTGTTTGTCGCATCAGATTGAGGAAGAATGCCCTGGTAGTCGCAAGAAGCTGTTGCGTTATATGTCCATTCCACGGAAATGTTTAGAGGTACTTCTTTCATAAGGTCTGCCAAATACCTACACTATCATGTCACTAGTCATGTCGCATTCGTCTCCATCAAAAGAGAGTTAGGTTTTACGAGGGTTTCAAGCGCGTTGGTAACTATGCGGCTGAATTGAAAATGCATACATCCTCGTATAAATCCACCTTCCGCACGAAGATGTATTCTCAAAGGCCTCGAGGCTGACTTCCCGCAGTCGGCCATGATGCCAGATTGTGAATTGTGAGTCGCACTTCGCCGTGTGGGTCGAAAGTGGCGAGTGAGAGCATCCTAATCTCCTCGATAGATCGAAGAGAAACTTTACTGATTAGTTAGCAGACCATGGCGACAAACATAGAGCGCCTTCTCGAATGTGCTTGTGGCATGTTTTGACTTCTTTACCCGCCGGCGTGGACGGACAATTGCGGAAGACGCTAGACAGCTTATCGATAAGCCGCCGCACGGGCCGACTTTCACTCGATCTTTTCTTGGGTCTGGCCGTCTGGCCACTCGTGATGCTACTCGTGCAGCCCGTGTATTGACCTTATCTCTGCGAACTCTCTGCGATCGATCGCAATTGATGCGACTTCTGGAACGGCTGTATTTCCCATTAAGGAAGCCTCAATTGATCCAGGTGCCGATACGCCCCCTCGCCCGGCCATACCTCTACCGTCCTGCCGCGGCTATGGATCTGTCTACGGATGCCACTGAGCGTGTTCGTATGTCACCCTTTCGAATTAAACGGGTCTGGCTGACGATCATGGCAGAAGGGCTCGGTGCATCATGACACCCATGCTACCCCGCCACAATTTATTCAGAAAGAGCATTGGCGATATCAAAGCATGCGCAAGGCCGACCTTGATACCGATCCAAACATATTCGATCTTAGTAAACGCGATGAGTTCAGTGAAGAACGCAAAGATATCTGGCGCCCCGCAGGCATCATCCCAGCGGCTCAGATTGACGCTGCTTGCCAGGCGTATGCAAGGGGCAAACCACTCTCTGTACCTGCACAAGACGCACAGATCTTCGAGCATCGTGACTTCCCCGGCCTTCAAGTCATCTCTGGGCTCCTCCCACCTGAGACGCAAGTTCTTTTCACGTCATGTCTGATGCACAGAGACCTAGCAGATCCAGGCCATAAGATCAACCTCCAGGCGGACTATGACATACCATACCCCCCGAAACCAACGTCAGATGGACTGCGGTTTGATAGTTCCTTCTTCCTTCGCCAACGGTCAGATCCGGATGACTGCCTGACCCCAAAGCTTCCGGACAAGTTGAAATCTCTGAACAACGAGCAATTCTTGTACACCAAGCTTCGTTGGCTGACCCTCGGCGAGCAATACGATTGGCCAACGCGTAGTTACGCAAAGCATGCGACGCCATTTCCAGAAGATCTATCAACGCTTGTGACGGGTCTTTTCCCACATATCCGGCCTGAATCTGGCGTGGTTTTGATGTACTCAGCCAAGGATTTCATGCCTGTGCATCGCGACGTCAGCGAGCAGTGTCAACGTGCGCTAGCGAGCTTCAGCGTCGGATGCGATGGAATCTTCATCATGGCTCGAGGGGAAGATGACGGGGAAGGTGAGAATGCTCCACGAAGCGTTGCGATTCGAGTCCACAGTGGCGACGTTGTGCATCTCACTGGCAACGCTCGTTGGGCTTGGCATGCGATGGCGCGTTCAATACCAAGCACATGCCCAGATTACCTTGCAAACTGGCCAGCTGGCACACCTGGTTCTACGGCAGCTGAAGAGAAGACTTACAAGAAGTGGAAGGGCTATATGGGAACCAAGCGCATTAACGTGAGTTGTCGGCAGGTCTGGGATTAATTCAACGGCAGCCAGAGGGCCGGCCCGTCTGTGGGATTCCATCGCACTGGACACGAGTGCCTTCGTGACAATCGGATCCGTACGCTCGGTGTCGTAGTTTTGCTGACGGCGGCTGCGTAGCGCACTCCACGGTGGAGCAGCTCTCGGAGCGTTAATGAACCCAGTTTCAGCAACTTTATGCAACGTCAAACGCACCACAACTCAATTTTCCGAAAGCTTGCACATTCTGTCACAAATCTGCTCATGCATGTGCATGCTCTTCTCCACCTAAGCCCTGTCTTCACACAGCAACCCCAACTTCCTTTTCCCGTGAGGTGCAGCGCTCAGCACGGGACTTGAGTTCTCCAATGCACCTCCAATGCACTCCAACGCTCTCCAATTTCTTTTTCCTTGGCCTAGGCCACCAGCTCTCTTCACGGGTTGAGGGCCGCCCCTAGCGAGTCAGCTAGCCCAGTACGGGAACCTGACGCTAGCATCTGGCCAGCCGCTATCACGGAGTTTTGGTTCGTCGGTAAGCACACTGCGCATTAGCTTTCGAAGCCACTTGGATGCTAACGAAGATTAATGCCAAAAGAAGCCAGATGAATGCATGGGGCCTTGAACACCATGCGTCAGGACCCTGGCGGTTTCTGACGTGGTACTATCTATCGGTGGACGCTGCATCCAGCCCTTGGTCGCCTCGTACTGAGGGTGTGAGTTTGTGCTGTGGGTTAGCGCTTTGCGCCCACTCTTGATTCTTATGGTTCTCATCGAGGCGCAGTCATGGATGGCTTAAAGTTTAAACCCTTCGCACGCCTCCTCGGCCCGTCTGTTTGTTAGTGTAACGTTCACCTCCGCACTTGAAGTTATCCATCCTTCTTCCATCTTGCCTTTGCATTGCGTTGTTCTTCCCGGAAGAGCTGACGTGCGACGTCATGGGGTTCCTGGCCCTCCCCCAGTTTCGTTACCATGGACCGTGGGTGCAGATGCTGATTGCTGGTCTCGGTGTTGGCTCTTCAGCGGGCATCTACGTTGCGCTCAACCTTCTTGGAGCGGGTGGTGGGAAGCCGGACTCAGCGCAAGTAGTTCAGGTTGTAAATGCGACATTATGTGCAGGTACACGATCATTCACAATCTAAGAGGACGACGCATACTGATCATACCGCAGTTTGGTTCTTCTCGTCCTCTTTTGGCGGCTCAATCCTGAATAAGCTCGGGCCCGGTCTGACAATGTGCATTGGCGTCCAGACCTACGCTGTGTACGTTGGGTCTCTCTGGTATTACGATGAGACGGGTAAGACGGGCTACCCTTATGCCGCTGGCCCTATCATCGGCATTGGCGCAGGTATGGTCTTTATCACTGCGGGCTATGTTGCGACAGGATATCCGGAAGAAAGAGAAAAGGGGTCTTATGCGACCATCTTGATGAACATGCAAGCGCTCGGGTCCGTCATTAGTGGCATCATTCCGGTCATCATCAACAGAAAATCGGACACTGTTGCTGGCGTACCACGATCAGTGTACATCGCCTTCATCACGATTATGGTCATCGGCGGGCTGCTATGTCTGGCTTTGCTTCGGCCACACAAGCTTACGAGAGATGATGGCTCCGTCGTTGCTGTTGATCGCCCAAGAGGAGCTTGGGAGGAGTTGAGATCCAACTTGCGGGTCTTCACAGACCCTGTTCTTCTTATGATGCTACCCGCGTTCTTGCCAGCAGAGGGATTCTTGGTGTACAGTGGATCGGTCAATGGTAGGTCTTCGAGCACTCGTCAAGATACCGCTCACACGTTCATAGCCTTCAATAACAACCTCCGCACCCGTTCACTGCTTTCGTTCATCGCTGTCGTTATGCAAATACCAGCAGGGTGGATCTTGCAGTATGTTCTTGACTACCCTGGGTGGGGTCGTCGCAAGCGCGGACTCATCGGTCTGACTGGCGTGTGTATACCTCTAGTAATTGCATGGGTCTGGGAAATGGTATGCCTCGAAGTCCATTACCCGCCATTGCGTCCTAACGTCATCTAGATTCGCACCCGCAACTATGATCGCAACAATCCGCCCACCAACCCTACAGACTGGGACGAGCTCAAATTCGGTTGGGTGTTTTTCCTTTTTATGCTAAACTGGGTCTTCTCACAGTTGTGGCACAACATAGTCTACTACTGGATTGGTGCCCTCACGAACTCCCCCCAGAAGCTCACACATTATGTCGGCGTCTTTCGCGGCGTGCTCGGCGCAGGAGAAGCAATCTGCTTCGGTCTCGACAGCATCAAAATCCCGTTCATCGCCGAGGCAGGCGGCATCTTGCTATTTTACTTGATGGGTATCGCGAGTTTCTACTACCTGGGATTCTATCACATAACAGACACCAACTACAATCGTGCCGAGGAGGGCGCGGTAGTGCCAAACCACATTCTGGAGCAAGAAGGCATCACTTCAGGTCATGCAGTCGTTATTCGAGATCGAGAAGCGAAAGAGGGGTATGTTGCGGAAACCGAAAAGAACGGATCTAGTAGCGGAGAAAAGGTCTGAGTCTTTGTCAAGCCCATCTTTTCTTTCTTGGAGTCTTTTACCGCAGTACAAGTTGTAATAGGTCGCGTTGCGCACTCTAATGTTTAAACGAAGGTATCGCTTCTAGCGCTCACAGCAGCAACACTGTTGACCCAATCGGTGCATGTATGCTTTTCCTGCGCTTTTGCTTTTTCACCTTTCAGGCTGGATCGTCCATCACCCGCGCTATGGGACCCCATGCGCATAGAAGTGTGGTATCGTGCAGATCAGGCAGGCCATGGGAAGCAGAAACCGGTTCGTGAGTGCACGCATACGCTGTAGGTGCGCTAGTAAAGAGGCTATCGCTTGGTCTGTTGTTCCGATTCGCTCACTGTCCACCCACCCACGCAGAAGTCTCGATTGTGTATACACAGGTTTGCACTGATAGAGTTACCCCTTTACCCCCTGCATCGACTGAGCCTACAGCAACGCACCACCAGATGTAGGTGGTATAATCACTCCCACTGTATCGCGACGGGCCGTCCCTGTCATTCTGCACGTGTGCAGCGTGGGCATCGCTTGGTGATACGGGACGAGCGCGAACACGTGTTGGTGTACTGAGGGGTGGGCTGGTAGGGGTCAAGATACTGGCGCTGACATCACGAGCTAGGTACGAAGCTAACATGCGGGATGGGCGCGCCACGGAAGTATCTCTCAATTCGGCGCGGGAGCAAGGTGCTTGCGTCCGTGTTCGCATTCGGGCGTTTTTTTGGCATGTTTCGAGAAGTGGAGATTAACGGGTGTTAGTGAGCGGCTGTGTGCTCACTACTGTAGCTGGTAGAGTCGAACCTTCAGGGTCTGGGGTCGTGAGTGCAAGGATCTGCAGGATTCTGCAGAGATCTGCAAGCCTCGGAGAAAACCTCGGGCTATGATGCCGAGGGGCAGAAGCATGCAACCGAAAACACTTCATTAGAATTGAATCCGATGCTGTAGGAAGTTTAGGATAGTAATGGAATGCTCAGAATCTTCCTCCGTCACCGCACAACTTCTCGCGCACTTTGGCGACTTTACACAACCAGCCTCTCCCGCAGTCTCCAGGCTCATCACTCTCATACTCACTCCCGGCCCACCACTCCTATAGGTCTAGTTGCTCGAATCTGACGAGCAATGTGCATGTGGTCTCGTGTCCGCCAAGATCCAGCATCCGAATGAAGTTCCAACCAGGTGTAACGTACATCAGTCTCACCGCGGCAACGGCGAAGATGGGGTTGCGAGAGAAACTGTCGTCACTCTTGATCAACAGGCGCAGGAATGTCAGTTCATTATCCTCATACTCCCACTCCAAGACGTCTTTCCAGATAGGATCGTTTGCGGGCGAGTTGTCCTTGTGCATGAAACCGGTCAATTTGTGGGGCTTGTAAGGAGCAGTCTTGCGCTTTGGTGGCAGATTGTTCATGTCGTTAGGATGAACGAGTGTGCATGTCAAGTAAGGCTTGATGTCTTCATGTTCGCGGTCATTGGGTAGGGGAACGTCTGTAGCGCCAGCAACGTGCAAGCGAAGTTTCTTCCGGCGTCCGGTGCTGAGGTTACCCGAGCCACCAGCACGTAGCGCAGCTGGTTTAAGTACGTAGCCACCAGAGCCGGCAAAGAGCGCTTCGTTGATTTGTGAGCTTGCGCCAAAGGTTTGCCAATTTAGAGCGCAGATCTGGGCGCCAATGCCCCAAAATGGTACCGGCGCAAGATTCTTCGAAGAAATGCGAGTTCCTTTGGGGTAGACGCGCATCAAATGATGCGCATTGTGTCTTGCTATCTTGGCGCTATTGGCGGGAAGATGCGCTTTCAGACCTGACTCCGACACGTTGATGAGTTGGTGATGTGGTGCGTTCTCAAGCTCCGCTTCAAACCAAGAGTTGTTGACAGGCTTGACTGATTGAGCATATACTCCTAGCTCGGCCAGTTCAGGGACAATAGTACCAGCATTAGCAGCCTTCTTTTTCGCATCATACTCTTGGCGAGCTTGCTTCTGTTCCTCTTCGTCCGAACTCGAATCACTGCTGCTACTCTCCTCTTCGTTCGGCAGATGGTACTCTACGATGACCGCCACTTTATTTCCAAGCTCAGCGAGGGTGACATGCTCATGCTTGCTGGGGTCGTCTTGTTCGCGTGTGCCCTTGTCTCGGATGGCCTTGCTGAGGAGTCGGGGGCCGAGGACTTCTTGCATGATCTGTGCGAGGCGAAGCTGCCCGTGCGCGTCGCAATGGTTCTCTAGGGAGATCATGATAGGTGCAGCATTCTTTTCACTGGCAGCTTCTTTGTCGACGACATCGCGGATGGTCTCGCATACTTGGCGGAAGGGAATATTAGACACGAGCGTGAACCCGTGCGTGACCTTCGGCTCTTCCTTGTTGTCGTCGTTGTCCCAGGCGTCGATCTCGACGCAACGCGACCCAGTATGCAACGCGATCTCGTACGCAGAAGCATGCGATTCGCCAAAGAGTTGATGAGCCATCAGATATGTGTTATGAGAT